ACAACAGGTATTAATTTAATGCACCATAATTGGTGTGACTGCACATAACCACAGGTGAATGCTTTTCAGGTGATGTTTAACACCTATTGGATTAATTCTACTGCACACTAGTTCAGTTGAACACTTTTTGCTAGCTGCGCTAATGCGCAGTAGAATTAGTCCAATGGGCACTAAACATCTTGTGTAAACATGCCCACTGAGTAGTCACGCATTGTCAATACTAGTCAGTATTTTAGCATACTGGCATGGAAAGCATGGGGGAGTTTGCACTGCTACTGCCCATACCAGTTCTATTTGAAAGCAATAGGAAAAGAGTGGGTATACAGAGTATCATTCCATAACCAGAGGGGTTGTGGAATCTCCATCCTTGGAGGTTTTAAGACCTAGCTAGACAAAACCTTCGCTGGGATGAGATAAATGGGGAGGGTCCTGCTTTGAGCAGGGGTTAGAATAGATTACCTCCTGATGTCCCTTCTAACCCTAATTTTCTACGATTCCATGATTCACAGGCATTAACTTAATTTAAAAGTACAAATACAGGTATCTGCAAGATTACTCAGGGAAACTATAGGAAGAATGGTGGTCCTGCATTTAGCGCACAGGGATGGAACACCACATTCATTTCCTTGCTCTACCAAAGACTATAGATATGTCTATACAGAATAAATAAACATCATACAGAGATATCCTAAACCAGGGGTGGCCAACCTGCAGCATGCATGCCACAAATGGCAAGTGAGCAGTCATGATGTACAGCATGCAACAGACTGGGGATGAGACAGGCAGCACACCAGCAGACAGGGTATGGAGCAGAAAGCAGAGCAGCAAATCAGACCTGGGAAGAGGACTGAAGTGGCACTCAGGGAGGACATAGAGCTAATTTATCACATGCCTGCCAAAAAGGCTGTCCTACTGCCCTAATCTAAACATCTGTTCATGCTAATTCTGGAGCCAGAAGCAATGCAGTTGTGTTAATGCCGTGCACCCAGGCTAATTAATATGCTAAGAAGCATCATTTACTTATTTGGCTATTGTACTATGCAAATGGCTAGGGAGAGAATTTACACACAACTGGTATGCAATTAGAAACTAGTTCAAATCTGTTATGCAACAGAAGTTCAGTGCACATAAAGCACTTTCAAAATGGCTGAAACCAGTTTAAGATGAAGCGGGATGGATGACATATCAGATTTAACTGATTATGGGTAAAGCAGTTTATTGAACTTCTGTCCCAGATCCCCTCCAGATGCAAATTTAACTCACAGCAGTGGGCCACTGCAGGCATGTGACTGCATTTCTGGAAGCAATAGTGAATGTCTGTTCACTTGCTTATTGAGTCTATCTACACAGCTTAGACTAAGCTGCGAAGATTTAATTGATTCAGCCTTGGGTTTTTTAACTGTCTGTACTTAGCCAATATGGCTATAGTGAATCCGGCGTCACACTTCTTGTGTGTAGATCTAGCTCAAGTTATCTTTGCTTGGGGCTGCCTTGTTCTCCATAGATATTTTATATGACCTCAGATGATTCATGTATGTTGAAATTCTAGTCTCAATGAAGTCAGTGGGAGATTTTGCCATTGACTTTAGTCAGGCCAGGATTTGACCTGCATTCACTTTCAAGTGTAAAACAGAACAATGTTCATTTATTTCAGAAGCACTTTGTGTAATTTAATAAATGAAATATTGTTGAATTACTTTGAGATTCTGAAATGGAAAGTCATGTTTTAGATTGAGATCATCTATTTTAAAACATATCAGGATTCCAATGATATGCCTAAAAATCCAGATCTTGTCTTGTAATAATACAGTGAAAGATAAAAACACCACCAGGAGACCATTATTTATGTCCTGACCTCTCTGCAGAGGGGTCATATGGGATAGATAAGATTGCAGGAATTTAACAGCCCTAAGGCAGCTCTCACTGGCTCTATGGAATATTGTTATATTATCCTCTAAACAACAGACACCACCTTCTCATAAGAAGATAAGATTTAACATCAACCAAAACCAATAAAAACAGATGAACAAAGTATTTTAAATACACACACGTCTGGAGGTAGCAGATGACGACCTGAAATCTGCCTCTTATTGGATATTGTCAATAACTTGTCTCTATGAAGCTCAATGATTACTTTCCTAGAACTTTCTGTGCACTACCGTGCCCCTGTCTTACTTGCATTAAGATGTGCACAAAGGCATTCTTGTGTCTGAACCCTGCCTTGGCGATTCAAATTCTGCACTGACAAAAAGGGACATTTTACCAGTGTCCATGAGATGAAGGAGTCGCATTCTGCAGACAGCATATGCAAGCACTTTTGTACAGTGCTATCACTAGGTCAATAAGTCTGGGAATGTCTCTCTCCTCTAGACTTTCTCCATCCAGAGAACATCTGTCCCCATTTCCTGTGTTCCCTTGGTCTTCTTTTGATTTATCTCTAAGTCCATTCCTGTTAAAGCTGCTTCACTCTCAGGCCCACAGATGGGAACAGTGTGTGTGTTGTTACATATAGTAACAAGGTTCATCATCATCATCACTCTTACCCCAACCTGACAAGCACTCATTTGATGCCTTTTGAAGGAGTTACTCTTTTTCACTATACTGCAACCCCTTCTTAGAAGTTTTCCAACTACTGGTACTTCATATTTGCAGCAGAAAGTTATTTTGTTTTAAATACATTTAAAAGACAATACATAGGACTCATTTAAATCTAGTTTAAAAATTGGGGCAATATACAGGCCAAATTTTCTTGGGTGAAACTAATTCAGTGAGGTAAGAACCGATTCTGAGGTACTGGGAATCTCATGTGAGATTCTGAGCTGCCTCAGTATTCAGTATACAATTAATGTGACTGAATATAATCTAGCTCAGTTTGAGCTGGAATAAAGAAGTAATCCCAACATCACCATCTACATATGCATTTAAACACAGTAATTTACTGCTCTGCCAGATACTACTTGGGAGTATCAGGTAGCACAGTAGATGGGACTGTCAGGTAGCACAGTAAATTATTCTACTGCACCCCAATTGCTGCACACATGTAGACAGTGATGTGTAGTTAGTAAAGCATCTCATGTAGCTCACTGTCTTCAATTTAACAGCTCCAAGTATCAGGTGTCTAATCACCACCTAAATCCAACTCTATTATTATGCAAAGAATAGGTGTTAGTTGCTAAATAGCTTTGCAGTTCAGGACTGAGACAATGTTTCAAGCACAGGTAAAGTTACAACACAATATTTATAAAAATGAAGAAGCATTTCTTGTTTCAGGATTAAAGGTGAGGTAAGAAGATAAAAAAGTTATCCTTTCAGAAATAAAATAAAACCACCCCTGTAGCTGAGGAAGATTACTCAAGCTAAACATTCACAGTGCGATTAGACTAGTGTACAGGAACAACTTTGTTCATCATTGAGACACAGGCCAAGTGCCAAGTGTGTTAGTTTAACCTAATCAATTTTCATGGAAAGCCTTATATAAAAAAAATCTTAACCACCTGCATTTTCCTGATGCTTTCTATACACGTTCCATACTTTTACAACAATGATTTATGAGTAGTGGCTCCAGCTGCCAAGCAGCCAGTTCTCCACTGGGACCATGGGACCAAGAGTGAATGTGGCAGGGGAAGGTCAGCTTGGAGCCGTGGGGATTCAGAATGTTTATTACATGGTCTCTGCTGAGGTGAGGATGGCTGAAATACTTTTAACATCTTTCTTCCACACCAAGGAAAAGGGACCGTATGGTCTAAATCACAAGCTCTGTTCAGATATGGACAGAGGAAAGTGTTAAATGTAACGCTTTGCACCTAGAGAGGTGACCATCACTTCAGCAGTCATGCAAGATCCGAGACATTTAATGAATAATACAGATATGATTCCGTATAAAATAATACTAACACACTTACCTCAAAAAGGGGAGGTTGGAAGGAGGAAGAAGTATGAAAATAATTATTTACATCTAAGGAAACCAAGACATACAGTTAAAATGACTTTTCCAAAGCCACACAGCAAGCTACTGGCAAAGTCCAGGTTAAAATTTATGATTTACTAATTCCCAATGACCCATTCATTCAACCAAACTACACTACTTTTCTGCAGCTGTAAGCTTCCCCTAAGACGCTTGCCAATTCTGCTATATTTTTTACGATAGTTTATAGTATCATACCTGCTTCTAAATAGTGAATTAGTTTTGGAGAAAGATCAACAGAATGCAATTGTATCCTTACAGTCAGTATGACATCAACTGGTTCTTTTAATCATTTTGGGAGTAGGGGGCAGGGAAGGGAAAAGGTTTTCTAATTCCATAGAAGGGTTTGCCAAAATTGAGATTTTTATGAGTATAGTTTTTCATGCTCGTCTAGACCCGTCTTTACAGTCTCACTTTCTGTCCTCTAGAATCAGTGATAAGTAAAACTACAGCATAGCTTTCAGACAGCAAAATGGTTGATAAACACTGATGTTGATTTATTTTGACAAGCCCTAACTGCCATTCCTGTCTTGTAAGTGTGTTTTATATAAACTTACTGCAGTTTATACAACAATGTAGGCCTGTACAACTTCACCACATTTGGATTTATCCTGACAGATTTTGCAATTCTATTTTCAGGTGATTGATATATTTTTCTTTGGAGCTTCTTAGTCACTTTTAACTCATCAGACCCAGGATCAGCTAAATCACAGAACTGGTTATTCAACCTTGATAAAGGAGAACTCATTTAAAAGCTTCTATTAATATAGAATGTGTGTGTGTTAAGGGAAAGATGTTGAGAAAATATTTGATAGCTAAAGTAAATAAATGTTGCAGTTTTATGAACTGTATCATTGCTGACCAAGTTAAATGTCAGCTCCTAACTGTGGAATAAAATGCAGGTATACTGCTCAGCCTCAGAGTATGTGTGACCTCTAGTGGTAGAAGCTGGTAAATGAAACACAGATAGAAGAACACCAGCCAAAGATCAAAAATGTTTCATGTAGCTCATTAATATAACTGTGTTTCTCCCCAGACAGAAGTTGGCACAATATTACCTTTTGTAACTCAAGACAGTTATTCCTCTGCACCACTGACCGAAGAGCCTGAGGAGGAAGCATCAACGCCAAAACTTATCGATGGTTCCTCACCACTGGGCTCTGGGGTTCTTGGGCCCCAAACACATGATGGTTAGTAAAGAAAACAACAAAAAGGGGGGGAATTTAATGGGGTTGACTTTCATGCTGTACTGTATGTGCTGTGTCCACAGATGGATTTGCATTTCTTTTCTTAAATGACTAGCATAGGTTGAATATTGAGATAAATAGCCAAAACAGTCTCACAAAATAATTTCTGATGAAAAATGGCCAGTCCAAAATTTCACAAAAGGAACTTTTTCATAAGAGTCAATATTTTCAGCATACTCAATATTTTGTAAAAGTTACCACAATAGTTTTATTGATATTTTATCTGAAATATTTTCCTACAAAGTGCATTTTCATTTTTGACTGCCTTTAATGGATTTCAGTAGACATGAGTTTATTGAGTTCATAGAATCATAGAGAAATAGGGCTGGATGGGACCTCCAAAAGATCTCCAAGGCAGGAACATCCCTATCCAAACCATAATCTAAACTTTATGTAAGATTACCATTAACCACAATACAATGAAAACCTAACACCTTAACCTGCCACAAGTAAAGCAGAGGAACCACAGCAGCCAATGTCCTGCTTCCATGAAAAATTGAGAATATATGCTCAAGAGATCCTGGGTAGAGGGCCATTGCCCCCACTACACAGGAAATCAACCCCCCACCCCAGTCCTTACCAATCTGACTGTGGGATAAAATTTCTTCCTGGCCCAAAATATGGTGATAGGTCTGACTGAGCATAAAGGCAAGACCCACAAGCATTTGTCCCAGCACGAGCATTGGTACACCCCAATCAAAAGTCCCCAGCCTTGGCTATAGCCAATACCCAATGCCTCTAAGGAAGTCTTAAAAACACCCTGACACATGGGGAGGGCATGGGGGGGCAAAGCCCAGAAGCATGGGACATAAGTACAGTAGAACTAGGGGTGCACTATAAACTAGATCATCCCCAACCACTATCTGCCCAACCTCTTCTTGAGCACTTCCAGTGATGGACAGTCCCCAGCTTCCCTAGAAAGTCTATTCCATGACCTCACTGTTCTAGCAGAGAAGTTTTTTTCTGGATAACCAATCTAAACTTACTTTGCTAAACCTTCAAGCCATTGGTCCATGTCCCCTTCTCTTCTTATGTCTCCTCTTAAGCACCTTTTCCACAAACTTAACATGCCTCACTGTATTAGCCTCTCCTCATATGACTTGCTTTCCAAGCCCTTTATCATCTTTGTTGCCCACCTCAGAAGGCTAACTTCTCCATGTCCATTTTAAAATTTGGAGCCCAGAGCTGTACACAGTATACCAGATGAAGCCTAACCAGTGCCAAGTTCAAGAAATATTTAAACATATGTTAACACACACAATATGAAAAATTTAGCAAAAATGGAACATGAGCCCATTTTAAAAATTGCAAATAAGAAGTAACTTATAAGAAATTCCCCATGAAACTAGTTTTCTAGTTTTGGACCTCATCTCATAACATAGGGATTTTTTTATAAGTTATAATTCCTTTAAAATCTAGAACAAAACAAACTCTGTAAAACATAAAAATAACTCCACCAAATATTAACAATAGTTAATGGCTAAACTAAACTGAAGTTGAATATGGAAGAAGTTTGGTTTGTGGTCTGTGCCTTAAAAGAACAAGCACCACAGCCAGTATTCCCTTTGAGTATTCTCAGGTAGCCACAGCTGATGGTCCTTATGCTCACTGGAAATTGACATTTTTGGAGGGAATAAATGCTAAGTATTATTTCCCTAGTTAGTTGCATTTTCTAGTCTAATAAACAACTTAGAAAACAATTAAAACAAACAAAAAGCCAGTTCAACTCTTTCAAATTGTAAATATATTTAATGTGCACAAACTACTCAACTGACAAATTATGCTTGATGAAGAAAAAAATATACATCAGTACAAAATAGGCAATTGGGTCCATGGCTGAAGTGGAATATTTACACCCTTAGTCAGAGATTCAGTAACATTTTAGGATATTCACAATGGTCTCAAAGTCATCTGGCCAAGCACAAATTCCCCACCATGTGGAAAACAGAACTGGAAGTAGAAAACTTTGCAAATAAGGTGAAATAGTATATTTTAATGCTGTTTCAGCAGTAGCTAAATGTTTTATTTATAAATGCACAGCTTTCAGGCAGTTATAACTCAAGGGATGATAGGCATCTGTCCTGATGTCAAAGTTCTGGATCAGAGATGTTAATTAAAAACGATGAAAAGGAAATTGAGATCCTGTGTCCATAACCCTGTAAAAAAAATTCATTTCCTTAAAAGCCATCCCAAAATACTGTTTACAGAACTAAGCTTAAGCAATGCAATAAGTTTCAAAGCCAGCACATTTGAATCTCTAGAATAGTAACTGGGCAGGTCAATGGGAATAGTTTTACTACTCTATTAGAGGTTGGTTTTTTTTTTTAATGTAAAACTGTCTTTTCTCATGAATAAGTTTCTTATGAAAGTGGATTACTTTTCTAAGTGGCAACGTGTAGGGGGTACATGGGGTGAACATGCACCCCGAGAGCACCGGTGCACCCCCTGATCAGCCGCGCTCACCGCTTAGATGATGGGCAGGCGGGAGTGCTAGTGCCCCCCCTTGCAAGTGCTAGCTGATCGCTGCAGCCGCTCCCAGAAGAAGTAGCCACAGCCATTCCTGTAAGTGGCTGCAGCAATTGCCCACAGCATGATTTGCTGCGGGCAGTGAGTTTGGGTGTGGGGGGTCTCCCC